GAACAACTCTTCCAAGGGTAAGTGCTCAGGTAAGGCAGATGTGGATGAAATCCTCTCCATTGACATTGTGGAGCTTATCCACTGAGAGGAAAAGACAGAAATTGCAATCTGAATCTCATGGACTTCTACTTAGCCACCTATAAAATCAATAAAGGGAGATGTTATTCCTTATAACAGCAGCATCTTCTTGGGTTTAAAATAAAGCATAACAATAGAATTCTAACACATTATGCAGACAGTTGGGAAATGGGAAAGGGAATATAAATTTAATGAATCTCTGCTATATACCAGTAACTGTGAGCTACATTTTACTGATATTTCCCACTCTTATTCCATGCCATGTTGCCATGAGCGAAGCTTTAGTAGTACCATTTTGGAAATGGAAAAATTGCACTTTATGAGAGGCAGAAAGGGGATTTCCACAGTTCATCAGTAAGTGTGCACTGGGAGTGTTCTTCATGTTGGTGAGCAGCTGCATGCAGTTCAAAGGCAGGGTCACAGCAGGTTTGTATTGCAATGACATGGGGGGCACATAACCGATGACACCTCACAGGTGAGATATAGGCCAGCTGAACATCAAGGCACCGGGAGCCCATCCAAGGAGACCTCACTAGTTTGAATGTTAGGAAGTCCTCTAAGGGGAAGTGGCTTTAAACTGTAAAATGAGAGAAATGTGGGCATCAGTGAGGCCCAGAGGTGTGTCCAGGTGGAAGACTGTGGAAAGAGTAGTAAGGCTGGAGCTGGATGGCAAAGAGGAGAGAACCAAACAAGGCAGCAGGTTCTGCACTGAGGGATCCAGTGCGCAGCTTAGTTCATATTCTGGAGCTTAGCCTTAACCTGCAGATTATCTGGGATCCCCTCAGTGGCTCATGCAAGCAGATGACTATATCAGATATCCATTTTGCAATGGTCACTTTGGCTGCTGGATGGAAAAGGAAACGTGTGGCTCAGAACTGGAGACCAATTAGAAACCTGTCTTGGTGGAAAGTAGGAAAATGAAATGAACTGGAATAAAGAAGTAGGGATACCAAAGAACCAGCAGACATTTTACAGTAAATAGAGAAATGGATAAGACCAGGATAATTTCTACATCATCTCTGCCCTGTGGCTATGAGTACATGATGATACCATGTCCTGACTCCTGGAGAAGGCAAGGACGGGGCAGGCATTTTCAAAGATGCCCACCAACTCCTATCTATGTTGGAGCAGACTAACACAATGTAGAAAGGATAACCAGGAAGGCAAATGGGAAAACATCACTGAAACAGGGCTCTGAGCAGAGACCACTGGAAGGAGAGCGCTACGAGCTGCTGAAACCCAGGTGGAGGCTAGGAGGAAACAGAATTGAACATGGGAGACCCTGAAGGCTAACTGGTGCTCAGCTGCCCAGCAGAGTGATGTGGCGGGCCAGTGGATCAGGTTTTAGTCTTCATAATGTATCCAAATTCTGCCTATGACAGCACCTTCTTTCCTTGAAGGTTCTCACACGGGTGGCCTGAACACCTGTTCCTTTCAGCAAGAGGAATGGTGAAGCCAGCAGGAACCCTCTCTAGAAATGGCAAAGATTGGCACATCTAGGGGCAGAGTGGAGGACTGGCAGGGGATATGGTTTTACAGTTTCCTTCCCCCATCCCCATTAATTTTCCCTGGGAAGGAACAAAGTATGTTGGAAATATCTTTTCGGTCCTTTGTTTCTGAGAAGAAAAATCCAAGGTTGGTTCCTTTTTGGTGACTAATACATGTGAGCATTTTGCCTCACAGGAAGCCTGTGTGCTGTGGTGTCAAATCTGAACAAATAGCTTTCTGCAGGCTGTTCTCTTGGTTATGTTTCCCCTGGAATATATCCGTTCCCAGGCTAGCTGTGCCTCACGTTCTCCTCCCAAGGACCCCTTGGATGAGGACACTGTGAGTGAATAGGGCCCATCATAGAGCACCTCCTATCTCCATCTCAGATTCTTGATCTCTCTCCTGCTACCAGTGCCAGTGGCTCCCTGTGTGTGGAGTTGTCCCTGAGTGACCGACTCACTCTTTCACAACTCCAGAGCCAGATTCCATCAGTTGCCCACAGCTGTGTGCTTTGAGAAGCCCGTGGGGAAGGCGGCAGGCTGGTAAAGACACGGATCACCTGAACATCTCTCTGCGTTTAGCTAAACGTGGCTCACTACTTTATCTTGCGGTGTGTGATTAACTTTTAAAATTGACTTGGCCATTTTCTCTGCTCAGAAAATATTTCAAATAGATGGTGTGCATAGCAAGAGAGAAACGAATGGATGTTATTAATTTTTCAGTTTCAAATGTGAGTTTTATTATAGAGTCTGCATGCTAGCCCCTTTAGAATCTCATGGGCTTTCTTGTTTAAAGTGGTACAGTGTCAGAAAAGTGCAGACTTGATCCCCTAGAGCCTGAGGCTTGTGACAAGTGTGTCAGAGAACTTATTCCTGGGGTAAGACTTGGTGTCAAGGCAATAGCGTGAAGTCCTGCTTTTAGCAATGGCTGCTTTCCTTCTGATGTGTAAGCTTAGCTTAGCACAAGATGGCGGATCCAGACTGGGAGGGACTTATTTCTTTTTTCTCTGTCAGCCATCTTAAAGTGCTGAAGGGAGAGAGGGACACAAATCTGAATACCAGGATACAATGGCAAACATCAGAAAGCCAGAAATCCTCTTCACACAACAGTATGCTGCACAGCATTATGCTGGGATGGTAGTATACTGGCTCTGTGCTCTCTAGTGTGGAGGTAGAGGGCCAGTTGTGACTATTCAGCATGCTTTATGGGACCTGAACAGAGGAATCAAATATAGCCAATTTATATTTAGCTAATGGCAATTTATAGGATAACGTAAGTATCCATTTTTACCTTTTTCTTGGGTAGACAAAGTCAAGGTTTTTGAGTACATTAGTCTTATTGATTTTCTAAATGCTCTGATGTTTTCTGTAAGGTTACTTATAAATCTTCGACTTAAAAAAACAGTAATTGTCAAAATAAAAATCATAGCTGGTACATCCCTGAGTAATAACTGTATGACATGTACTTTGCTAAGAACTTTACAGACATTGGCTTATGGTCACCGAGTGATGCTCTTATCCTGAGTTTACAGGTGGGGAAGTTGAGGGGCCAAGGGATTATGTGACTGCTCTGAGGTCACCTAGCAGTGAGTGGCAAAGCTGAGATTCATTTCAAGCAGTGGGGCGCCATCCCCATTCCATCTGCTGCCAGTCAAGACATTTCTCAGTGCTGATTCCTGGGGGAGGGGGGTTAAACATCCAGTTGTATCATGGTTGTTACAAGCAATGCAGGGTCTTGAGGCCATTAACAAACTACATATAAATACTGAGCACATACATTCACTCTGAGCTTGGTAGAGTTTAAAGTGTGGATCTTGTCATCTTGTTTGGAAGTTCTGTATCATTCTTTTGTGTGTGTGTGTATTTTAGGGAAGGATCTACAGGGTGTTCAGGGTCTCACTATTATATCAGACTCATAATGATCTGCCTGCTTACAGTCTCCTAAGAGCTGGGATTACAGGCGCTTGCCACCATGCCCAGTCTCAATTGCTGTCTCAGTGCATCCTGGGGGCAGGGCCTGCACAGCAGACTTGGGGATCAAACCCCTGGCCCCTGTCCCTGCTTGCAGGTGCTTTAATCCACTGAGATATTTGGCTGGCTCTCTGTATCATTTTTTTTTGTGTGTGTGTGTGTGTGTGGAACCAGGGATTGATTTCAGGCCCTTGTACTTGCCAGTCTTCCAGGCAAGCACTTATTCTACTGAGCTATCTCCCCAGCTTCCCCTTTGTATCATTCTTAATGTTTATTTAGTTGGTTGGTTTTTTTCTCTCTTTAAAATCAAGGAGAGGGTCTGTGCTGTACTCTGTTCTTTTAGAGAGCACAGGCCCTGGCCCTGTGAGGCCAGCAGATTGGGCCCACTGTCTTCAGGTCAGTCAGGGTCTGTGCTGTTGGAGGCTGTGTAGGAGTCTATCTATTTCTCCATCATTGCCCCAGAGCCCTCCTGCATCACTGTGCTCTGTGCCATAGCATGTATTGCTCAGCTTCTTAGCCATTTGTTGCTGTAACTTTCAAATTTGGGGAAAAGAAACATTTGCATGATTTATTTCCCCATTCACGTACTATTCTTTGAGATTTTTGTCTCTTCTCGTTCCACTTGCTAGGGTCACAAAGGACACTGCTGGGTTTTCTGTGTCTTCATAGTACCCCATTGCCTAGGAAGTCAGCTCCTTTCTCCACATCCTTTCACTCCTTTGGCATTTCTCTTTGCAAGTCTTATCCAGCCTTCCAGAAGACTTTCAGCTTGTTCATTCCCTTCCTCACCTGCCGGCTCCCCTGTGAAGCTGAATCTCTTTTTGTCCTCAGGCATATCATCTGCCTCACCTACTCTGCCACACCCTATGAAACAAACCAGATAGTAATGGAGGGGCTGAGACAAAAGGGCTCCTATAGAGAAGCATTCCTCTATTACTGGTGGAAAATCAGAATGAGTCCACGGGAAGGCTGGCCAATAGGCCAAATCCAGAAATTGCCAAAGACAGAATTGGGAGCCTGCTGTTCCTGGGATCTTTTGGCGTCCTGAGCAGTCTCTCCATAATAGCATTAGCTATTCGTGGGTAATCTCTTGGCAAGAGTACAGTGGAAAATGTAATTTTCCCTAGCAAAGATGCAGCAGCAAATTATTTGGGGTTCACAAAAAAGATCAGTGTCAGTCTTTGGAGGATACTGTACACCTGTGTGACCTGCACAGCTTATTTTAACAGCTGGGAGGCAGTCCAAAGTCCAGTGTCAGCTGCACCTGTCATCCTGGGAATTTAGACTTTTTTCTGTCCCACTCGGTTCTTGTGATGGCAGTATCCTTTGGGGCACTTCATGTGGGGAGGGTGCAGTTATGTCATGGTTGGCCAGGGAAGCTTGCTTTAAATGACTTTGGCAATAACCCCACATATTGAGGGTAGGAAGCTCAGGGACTCACCAGTGCCATTTGTTTTTCTCCAGCCTGCACGGACAAGGAGTTGAGGAACCTCGCTTCCCGGCTGAAAGACTGGTTTGGAGCTCTTCACGAGGATGCAAACAGGGTCATCAAACCCACCAGCTCTGACACAGCCCAAGGCAGTAAGATTATTCTATTTTTGCCAATTTACTTCACTATAAATATTATATTTCCTCATTTAGTAGACATTATTGAGTTAATAGCACTTGGAAGTCAAAAAGGAAACATTACCTTAAAATATGCTCCAGTTTTAAAAATAACCTATGGAGAAAGGGATGATGCTTTAGGACCAAGGAAAATTATGACATACTTCTGTAACTGACCATAAAAATAT